ACGTGATTGTTTCACATCGTCCCAACAGTCGTTTCCCACCAGATGTTGTTGCTTACGCGCTTCAGGGAGTGGAGAATGGACTGTCGGCGCGCCAAACGCAGCCGTGCTGAGGCGTCCCATCATCAGAAGTGAACAAGACTGTAAGTGGAGCACACACCACTACACCGCGTCCTCCTATTGACCAATATACTAGCATTACTTAGAAGTGAGCATTAGGGCCATTCACCTCAAACCTCATATTTTGATTCAACTTCAAACATGAAATGGAAAGGATCAACTTCCAACAACCAAACAAAGAGGATTACCTACCGTTCCATGTAAAAATTCAAGTTCGACTGTTATTCTCGAAGCTAACGTTGAATCATCTCCAAATTTGAACAGGAGATCCTTGATACGAGAATAAATGAAAATTCTATACGGCAATCTCACTAGCGCTGCCACATATAAGGGGACAGTTTGCAACAGGAAATCAGGATCCATCGAACTTCTGACCATCTGAAACATGAAAATGGAAGGTTTTGCAACAACTGTCAGATGGTGGCCAGAAAGTACGAAAATAATTCTGGGTGCATCGCTAAGATATCCTGAGCAGGAAAGAAACAACAGATAAAAGCGGAAGATGCCGACAGAAGGAAGGGGAGGGAGAATTCAGGATGAGTAGTTGAGGAGGAAACGCTGCGCATCATGAAGTGATCTAAAAGTCAAAATGGCTGGAATAGATGAAGTTTCCTCCGCTTCTAGGAAGCTCCACACATTCCATTCCAGTCAAAGTCATGGTGACCCTTCTAGGGACGAGCCCATGTAAAAGTTGGTGATTTTATCCTCCCAGACGAGTCTAATACCAGTGAGCTAACCCCGAATTGATGGAAAGCCGGTTCAGATGGAATCAAACCGAGATTTCATCCCTGTACTAAGCACATGTGAGCAGACCACTTACCACTATACAGGTCTGTCGCCTAAAGGAAAAGCTAAATCAGGTAGTCGTCTGGTTTGGGTTATAGGAATGGAGTTTACTGAATACGGCACACTAAACACTGTCGCAAGAGAAATGCAAATGCAAGACACTATTCTTACAGAGTGAAGCTCATCGCTCACAAACCTTGGAAACCAGGGCTTGCGTCAGTACGACAAAAGCAGTTCGATTAAGTCCTGTTCGTTGGGCATCGGCCTCTGCTATGGACAACAGGTTGGAGCCCACATTGCACAGTATTTCGCCACATACTCGAACTATTCGCTCCTATAAATACTATTATAAGGGAACATGAAGGGACTTGTAGGTTTTTTGGGGACTAGCAGGCTGAAATATGAAGGGTTAATGCTATGGCATACGCTGTCAAATGACTATCGGAAAGCTTGAATAAATCGCCAAGCCGAAGGTAAGGGTAAGAATCGTGGCCAGAAATGCTTTCGCCACTTTAATAGATAGTGCTCCTCCTATCTACACCAAAGTGCACTGAAACAGAAAAATGCGCCTGTTTATATTGCTATGGCCACTCCGAGGTTTTTAGTGAAATCTTTATTTCTCGGCCTAGACGTTGTTAGAGTTTGAGGTGTGCGTGTGTGTGCAGGCCTAAACGCGTTTCGAGGTTAGGAAATGAACACTACCTTACTAAGCGCCCAACCAACCCTAGCAGTTCCGATGACGTGTTCGGAACTCAACCCGACCCAGCCCGCACAACACGAAGAGTGCACTCACCAAGCTTCCACCGTATATCCGCAACCATATGCGGCTAGTAGTTAGTAGAGAATGAGACTTACTACAGCATCTCCTGACACGTCTAGAAATGAGGAGACGCGCGTATCACTGCTACTTAGAGGCTCGTACGTATGGTATGGCAGAAAGTCATTCGTCACTGACGGAACTCATCTCGCTGTTCATCCTAGGATTTCTGACTGAAATCCAAAACGCCTCTAACGCCTTCCTTGCCGAAATTTCCGTCTCCTGCGCCAATATCGTACACTTGATTTCAAAGTTGTTGCCGTCATGCTCCTCAGATTTATGCCTTCCAAGCGCTGTCGTGAGCCTATCACGTCTCATACCAGCTAGGTGCTCGTTTATTCGTATACCTAGCGGCCTTCCAGTCTCTCCGCGTATATGTGCGTCCACACGCCAGACTTTCTATTTGGTGGATCACACCTGATTTGGCGCAATCACCGAG